TCCTGGGCCTGCTCTGCACAGTGTCTGCTGGAGTGCTGCCAGAGTGGGCTGTCCCCAGCTGCATCCTGTGCTAAACTGTGGTCTGGCTGCTTCAAAACATGAAAGGACTTTTTCTGCTTCTGTATTTCTGTCATGGCCAGAATCTCTTGCCATCTGGCTGTGTCCCATGCTGAGGGTGGAGCTGGCCCCACTTTGGTACGGGAGGACCTCTTGATGTGAGCTTGGAGTGGGTTGTCTTAGCTGTACTTCCAGACATAGGCAGATGCTCCTGCTGGGTCAGATGTAGGGATGGGGCATATTTCTGCATGGCCATTTGCAGAGCATGTGGGGGATGATCTGCTGTGGGGGCCGTGCCAGGCGACAGCACTTGCCTGGATTTAGCCTCTGGAGGGAGGCAGAAAGCCAGGGCATAGCCAGAGGCTCTCCTGGCATGGTGGAGGAGTGGGGTGGACACTTACCTGTCTCTGCCATTTCTCCCCAGGAAGATCTGGCAGAAGGAAGGGCCCACAGCCTTCTTCAAAGGGGCATACTGCCGAGCCCTGGTCATTGCTCCTCTCTTCGGCATTGCACAAGTTGTCTACTTCATTGGCATCGCGGAGTTCCTGTTGGACATGCTCCCCAAGCCCCGGGCCTAGCCCTGGCGTGCTGGTGTGCCCTCCCGCCCTCTGCAGCGCTGAATTCATCCCCGTGTTCACCATCCATGTCCATTGATGTCAGAGCAACAGCACAAAGGGTTCGCGCAGGGATGCCGAAGGGACGTGGTCTCCAGATGAGCAAACATGGGGAGGGAGAGAGTCCCTTCTCTGTCTTGGTCTGGAACCTGCTCCCTCCTGCTCCTTCCACGGACAATATTTAATTATTCATATCTCTTTTTTTTTTTTAATTTCCCTTTCTTTTTTTTTAATTGTCATTCTTAAGGACACTGGTAAGCACAGACTGGGCTTGCAGACCCAGAAGTCTCCTCTCAGCCTTGGGGAGAAAGAGAGAGGGGAAAGAAATAACTTGAACCCTCATCCACCACAGTTTCCCTCTTTCTTCTTGGAGCTGCCAGCTATCTGAGGAGGAGCTGGAGGGGCAGCTGTGTCCCCTCAGCACCTCCTTGGCTCTGCTGACCTTGGGTCAAGAGCAGGCACTGCACAAAGGGGGCTTATCTTATTGCTGCTGGAGGCACGGTGTGGGGGGTGCTGGATCTGGCAAGTCCTTGGCCTGGAAACCTTTGCTCCTCCCTTCTCCCTTTTTAAAAACAAGTTGGACTTAAATGAATGCTGATTGTTAATATTGATTTTGTAATTATTTTTGTTTTAAAGCAAAAGGGATATCCCTCCTAACTAGGTGTCACAGGCACATTCTGGTGAGGTGCAGAGATAAGATGTCTGCTCTGTAGGGAACATGTCTGTGGGATCACATGAATGTCCAAAGGTGCTTCCCTGCTTGGCTACAGGCAGGGAAGAGAGAGGAACTTGGGATCAAGTTATTTTCGTTTGGGGGTGTTTTCTGGATGGGTTTTTGGGGGAGCGGGGGGTGTTTGGTTTTGGTTTTTTTGGGGGGGGGCTTTTATTTGTTTGTTCTTGGTTTGTTTTGGTTTTTTTTAATGTGGGGTTGTGGGGAGGGAAAACCAAACAACAAGAAACCACTTACATTCCTTCAACCTGCCCACCCCCAGGGTGATAAAGTGGTGGCTGCAGGTGTAGAGTAGCTGATCTAATTTTTTTCCAGCCTGACCCCAGGTGTGGGAAGGGAGGCACCTACTCCATTTCTGTGGTGCCCAAACTCAGGGAGCTGCACTAGAAATGCTGCTCCTGTGTGCTCACCTTGCAAGGTGAAAACACAAGGCCTGGTTGTGTTTTGATGTTTAACTTGGGTGTGTTTGGAGTCAGCCAGTGGAGGCAGAAGGTTCCCGCACCCTGATCCAGGAGCTGTTTGCAGGTGCATTACCTGCAGAGCGAGTCCTCTGCATCACAAAAAACTCGTCATGCCATTGGCTTCTGGGGTGGTGATCACTGTTGGGTGCCAGAGGGCAAATCCACACCTACAACCCACTCTGTCAAAGGGACACTGCCCCAGCTAATATCACCTGTCAGAGGACTTCCTCGTTCAGTACTCTTTTGGGCTGTGTAACTAATTCTAGTTTAAATGACCTTAAGTGTGAGACCTTCCAACCCAGTGTGATCTTCTCCGTTATTTATTCCATTTGGTGCAATCCACCCAGCTTTGGTGTTGAAATTAAACTGGTTGAATTCACTTTTCATTCCTTCTTTTTGCTTTGTTCTCCAGGCGCTTGCTTGGTGTTTGTGTTTCAAATGTGTTTTAAATTAATTTAAAAAAAAATCCCTGTTTTTAATGTTTAAAAGGAAACCACCTCTGTTTCAATGTTCTTGGGTTAGGTTTTTGTAAAACCTGTATGTTGAGGGCCTTCTTCCTTGATGAATCCTTTTTCTCTTCAAGAAAGTTGTTCTGTGGCTGATTTGTTACTTGTCACTATGCATATATGAATAATTTTCTTTATTTTTCTTAATGACTTCTCCATGTATCTGGAAAGGAATCTGTGCAAAGATGATGATAGTTGTCTGTGCTGTGTGTGGTGCTGTGATGCTGCTCTTGCTCTGGATTTCCCTTGGGTGGATTAAAAGAGAAAGATTTATTTTAATTTTTTTTTTAAGATGCCCCATTCCTTGCTGCTTTGTGATTTACCTGGAGGGTCCTCAAAAGAGACTTTGCCAATAAAATTAGTGGGGTTTCAGCCTGCCCTCCTGCCTGCAAGGATTGTCCCCTGAAGCAGGGTGACTTGTGGCTGCAGGGGTGTGTATGGGGTGCAGGTTTGGATTGTGGGGTAAAGTTTGGAGGAAAATTTGGTGCAGTGAAGGGCTGAGGTTCAGGGAAGGCTCTCCTTGTCCTTTGGGATGCTTTTGAAAACCTCTTTGTAAAACTGACTCTTCCTTCTCAAATCACCAGCTCTTCTTCCACTATGTTGGAGCTAGTGACCCTAATGGGGCTGATTTTTAGCTTCTTGGACATGTCCCTGAATCAGCAGGACCTGGGGAGGTGGCGGGGGATAGTGACCGTGGCTGCACAGGAGCTCTCCAGGCAGGCAGGGTCCTGCTTGCAATAAAAAAATAGAGTTTAAAATGGGAGAATTCTCATCAACCTAATTAATCATCTATTAACTGAAACCTGTTGGTATTGATTGCAATAATGAGGAATAAAAGTAAATAAACACACCTCTACTCCCTTCCCTGCAGGTGCCACTTGTCCCTGGGCCAGCAGCTGTTAGCAGCGAGGGGTCAACTCCTTGTGTGCCCTTGCTGGTCCCTCTGGCATCTCTCCACCCACCCCAGGCCCTTCCCAGTTGTACCTTGTCCATGTCAGCCCTGTCCCTTGCTCCCACCCTGCCCCTGGCTGCCATGGCTCCTGTTTGTTTAGGTTTCATGGTGTTCACTGCGCTTAAATACATTTTGCTGGAGCTGCTGTACTTGAACCCTGTCTTGGGTTCAGGTGCGTGAGTCAGTTTTGGCTGGTGGAATTCCCTGGAATGCAACAAGGAAATTTCCTAAAACCCTGGGGAGAAATTCCTACGAAGCAAATGGAAAATTCTGGCAACTGATAGGAGAATTCCTGGAAAGCAAAGGGAAACCATCCTAGAAAGTTAAATATTCTGGAAAACAAATGGGAAATTTTCTGCAAGACAATGTAGTAATTTTCTTGAGAGCACTAGGGAGAAGTCCTTGAAAGCAAAGGGAGAAATACTCTGGGAATTTCTAGAAAGCAATGGGGGGACTTCCTATAGGGGCAATAGCCTAGAGAGACAGGGAGAGAAATTTGAGAAAGCATGGAGGAAATTTCCTCAAATACCCGGAAAATTCCTGAAAAGCAGAAGTGAAATTTCTCAAAAAAGTAACAGTAATATTTCCTAGAGGGAAAATTTCTGAGAAATTTAAGGAGAAATTGGTGGAAAGCAAAAGGGGAATTCTGGGGAGAGGAAGAATGATATTACTTCGGAAATAATTTTTTGCTTCCCAGGGAGTAAGTGTCATGGGGGAATTTCCTAGGAAAGCAGTGGAGATCCTCTAAGCGGAGGGAAAAATCCCAGAAAGCAATGGGGGACTCTAGAGAGCAACAAGGACATTTCCTAGGAAAGCAGTGGAGTTCCTCTAAGCAGAGGGAAAAATCCCAGAAAGCAATGGAGGACTCTAGAGAGCAACAAGGACATTTCCCAGGAAACGAGGAAGAAATAGCCTTCAAAGTGACTGGGAAATTTCGTGGGAAACAGTGGGATTTTTTTAGGAAGGAAGCTGAAGATTTCCTGGAAAACAAAAGGTAATGTTCTGGAAAAGCATGTAGGAGCACCGAGTAAGCAGCAGGGAGAAGTTCCTGGAAAGAAGAGGAAATTTCCTCAAAAGCAGCACAGTGGGAAAAAGAGGCGGCAGCAACTCCGTGTTTCAGCCCCATTGACCCCCACTCTGATCCTTGGGTAATAAACTGGAAAAATATCTCAGGGGATTTGAGTGTTTTTTGCTGCTTCCCGCAGAGCTCCAGGGGGCTCGGGGAAGAGCCGGGAGGGCGCTGGGGCTGCCCCTGACCTGCCTCCTGTCATGGGTATGGATGAGCTGTTTCGCCTCTGCTTCGATGTCGAGCGCTGCCCTCCGGGCCTTGGCCTTTAATTTCTTTTATTTCTTGACAGCCTTAGCTGCAGCCGAGGCAGCCTGGGAGAAGAAGGGTTAAAATAAACAACGGAAAATGGCCCGGGGATTCCCAGCCCTGTGCCCGGGCGCGCCCCGGGAAGCCCCGGCGGGAGCGGGTGCGGCTGAGCCCCAGGGCTCTGTTTGCCCCAAGCTCACGTTTTAAGTCTGGTTTATTTATTTTAAATATTATTAGTCTGGGGAGGGGGTTGCGCGGGGCTGCGCAGCAGCATCTCCGGGGGCGGGGCCGGGCTGGAGCATCCCCCGGGCACCCCCGGGAGCGGCGGGACACACACACCCTCCCACACACCCCCACCGCGGGAGTGGAGGCACTTTCACTTTCGGAAGGGACACGTGATTTCCAGGAAAACGGGAGTAGGCGGATAAAGGACCGGGCGGGAAGCGTCCGCCTCCCGCATCGAGGTCGCCGCCCGTCCCGTCGCGGCAGCTCGGCGGAGCCCGCACCATGGCAGCGCAGGAGAACGAGGGGTAAGCGGCGCCCCAGCACCCCCGGGCCGCCGTCCCCGGGTGGCCACGGTTCCCCCGGTGACGGCCTCCTGCCCGCAGGGAGGCCCAGAGGCTGCGTTTCGTCCCGTGGCTCCTGAAGGCCATCGACAGCGGGAACTACCGCGGGCTGCGCTGGCTCGACCGCGAGCGCACCACCTTCCGCGTCCCCTGGAAGCACAACGCCAGGAAGGACATCACCAGCAGCGACCTGGAGGTCTTCAAGGTAGGTGGGATTGGAGTCAGCAGCAGGAACCTCAGGGTCTTCAAGGTGGGTGGAATGGGGTTGAAATGCAGTGCTCTTTCCCGGTCTTCAGGGTGGGAGGGTTGGAGTGACCACGCCTTCAAGGTGGGTGGGATAGGGTGGTGACCAGCAGCGAGTTGAGGTCTTCAAGGTGGGTGGGATGTGGGAACTGGGAAGGCAGGGGAAGACCAGTCATCCCTGAAACCTCCATGCTCATGGAGACAGAGGCCCCATGCTCACCTCCCTGCACCCACAGGCCTGGGCAAAGGTGGGTGGGCGGTATGAGGAGTCGTCTGAGGACCCGGTCAAGTGGAAGACCAACTTCCGCTGTGCCATGACCAGCACCGGCATGTTCACAAAGCTGAAGGACAATTCCAAGTCTGGCGAAGACCCACACATGGTCTTCACCATTAACCAAGGTGAGTCTGGCCCCAGAGGGGGCTGTGTTGGGTGGGGTGGGCCACAGGATGCCCCACTCCTGATGATCTCCTTTCAGCCACCCTTCAGCACAGCAAGGAGGGGGATTTCAGCAGCCCTGATCCTGCGGTGGACCAGCAGCCAGCACAACAGCAGCTGCAGGTAGCTGGGTGGGCACAGCAGGCTAGTGGGGTCCCCACTGCCACTGCTCAGGCATTGCACCTCTATGTCCTTGGGCTGCTCTCGAGCTGCAGCCCAGCTTCTGGCCAAAATGCAGGCCAGGGGGAGGCTGTGAGCTCCTCATCCACAGCAGAAAGATCCCATTCTGCTTCCCTTCACAGGTGGAGCTTCACCCCCAAGACATGGCCCCAGAAATTGCTCTCCCAGGTTAGTCCCACAATCAATTTTTTTTGGAGGGTGCACCCCGCTAGGCTCAGTTGGGGCTGATTTTGTGGTTGTGAGACATCTCACCTGCTGTGCTCCCTCCTAGGCAGCACCGATCCCACACAGCCCCTGTCACTGGAGAAGCTGCTGCAGCAGTGTGACATCTCCCCCCGTGACGTTGTCTCCATGACCCCGTCCTGGGTGCCCGCAGGTGAGACCTGCCCTGCTCACAGGATGCAGAGTGGGTGGCCCCATGGGTGGGTGATGCCAGCACCTCCCCATTGGTGATTTCCCTGCAGGGGACACCCTCCACCCAGACATCCTTCTCCAGCCTCCCCAGGACAGCCTGCTCCAGCTTCATGCCGACCCCAGCCAGAACAACTACTTCGCTCCCCCAGCATTTCAGCAGTGGGTGCCCACGGTGGAGCAGCCCATCTTGGGCACCTACAGCCCCCTGGTCTTCATGCCGCCAGAGGAGACAGGTGGGTGCTGTGGGGCAGGATCCAGCCCTGGGCATGGGAATGCCATAATGGGGTGGGAAGAGGCCAGGGTGCTGCCACTTGCACCCCACGTCAAAGCAACCCCCATCCCACTGCATCCCGAATCCCCATGCCGATGCTGCTCATGTCCCGCTGCAGGAGCCGTGCCACTGCCATGTCACCTGACAGAGGGCATGGTCCCCATGCAGTCACCAGGGCAGGCGATGTTTTTGGTCTCCACCGCCAGCCCTGTGCCACAGCCACAGCAGCTGGTGCGTGACACAGGTGAGAGTTATTAATTATTAGTAGTTATAAATTATTATACTTATTAATAGTAAATAATGCGGGGGGGGTTCACTTTGGAGAGGGAGAACATTTCTGTTTGGGGGATGCGGCCGCTGATCACTGCCTGGTGCAGGTGCCTTCTTCTCTGACCTGGATGTCACCATCTACTACCGGGGAAAGGAGTTCGGTCGAGAGATCGTGCAGGGCAGCCACTGCCTGCTGACATACCAGCCCCTCGACCTGGCGGTGGCCCAGGGTCCCTGGCACGTGGTGAACTTCCCCAGCCCCGCCAACATGGCCGATAAAAAGCAGTGGCGTATCACCGAGGAGCTGCTGGGCAAGGTGGGGCTGCAGCTGGAGCAACGTGCCCACAAGGTCTTTGCCACCCGCCGGGAGAAGTGCAAGGTATTCTGGGCCCTGTCCCAACAGCTTGAGGGTGTCGAGGACCCCCCATCCAACCTTCTCTGCCGGGACCAGGAAACCCCTATTTTTGACTTCAGGGAGTTTAGCACAGGTGGGTAGGGGTGTCACCTTGTTCCCTATGTGTTGTTTCATCTTCCTCCTGGTTTTGGGGCTCATGGGAACCAGGGGATGGGGGCTCACAGGAAACAGGATGTTACAAGCATCCAAATCTTCCCAGTCCTTCTGTTCCCCAGGCTCACCCCAAAACTGATCCCTGTCTTCTCTCGCAGAGCTAAGGGACTTCCGCAACGGCCAAAGGCGGCGGTCCCCTGACTTCACCATCTACCTCTGCTTTGGTCAGGCCTTCTCCAAGGCCAAGCCTAAGGAGGCCAAGCTCATCCTAGTCAAGGTGAAGGAGCCAACAACCACTGCTGCCCAGGGAAGGGGAGAGACTCATGGGGGCCAGGGGAGCTGGGACTCTGGGTGTCTGAGGAGGGGGACCCTCAAAGTCTGTGGGAGAAGGAGGATCTGGGTGCCTGAGGAGGGACCCTTGGGAGCTGGAGCAGATGGGTTTCTGGGTGCTCATGGATGGGGACTCTTAGATGATAGACTGGGGATGGAGGTTCCTCAGGGTCTGGGGAGGGGGACCCTAAGGGGCCAGGGCAGGTGAGTGCCTGGGTGCCCAAGGAGGGAGACCCACTCTGTGGGCAGTGGAGATGGGGATCTGGGAGCCCTTGGCATTTGAGGCAGAGGGATATCTCGCTACTCCTTGTGGGGCTGAGAGAGATGGGGGAACTGAGTGACAGGGAAGGGGGACCCTTGGAGAGTGGAAGGGCTGGGTGACAGGGGGAACCCTTGTGGACCAGGGGAAACGGGGCAGCGGTGGACCTGAGTCAGAAGACACTCGGGGTCTGGGCGGGATGCTGTGGAAGGCAGTCCAGGGATGGGAACCTCAGGGTGGGGGAGATAAAGGATGCCCCAGACACCTCCTCCCTCTGCTTCAGGAAGACAGGGCTATGCAGGGTGCTGCAGCCACATCAGGCTGTTGCAGCCACATCAGGCAGCTGCCCATAACCCTGACATTTTTCTGCTGCAGCTGGTGCCCAAGTTCTGTGAGGACTGCTACGAGAAGGTGCTTCAGGAGGGAGCCTCGTCCCTCGACAGCCACACCACCAGCTTGCAGCTCTCGGACTCCTTCAGTCTCTACGATCTCATTGAGCAGTACACCATGCAGCTGGACTGACTCCCACCCACCACATGGCCCCTGGGACAGGCAGCAGGACCAGTGTGCAGGCACTGTGCAAACCGGCACCCCCAACTCAGGGACAGCTTCACTGACCAATCTCGGAACTCACATGTTTCTTTCCCCCTCGCTCAGCTGCTAACGTGTTTTTGTGGGTTGTGATCATTTACAGATTTATTTTCTTAATTTTTCCAAGTTTAAATATATGTATAGAAAGGTAGTTCCCTCTTGCTGGTGTTACCTGGATGTCTGCCCCTACTATAGGTCTGAAACACCCCCTGTACACCCCAAAACCACAGGGGTCCACCCTTGTCTCAGCAAAGTCCCTGCTGGCAGCAGTGGGCTGATATCAGAGCCCTTGTCAGCACCTTCTTCCTCTAAAGTTTTAGTGAGGTGACTTCCTACACATGAAGGGATGCATTTATTGAGTCATTTATTTCCGTGCGTTAAGACTGCAAACATGACTTTGACTTGCAAGCAGAGCGTGTTGACGACAGCTTGGATTTGGCTAAACAAAAGTAATTCTTCAGCAAGTGCCTCCCCACTGGCTAGAATTGTTCACTGGAGATATTCTGGAAAAATAAGGCAGTAACTGCAACACGAAGCACTCAGACCTGAGCTCTGAGGCACAGAGGTGGTGCTGTCTCAGGGAGGAGTGTGGAAACCAGAGCGCTGCCTGAAGATGGGTGTCCCCTCCCCAGGCTGCAAGGAACCACCCCCCCCTCATTTCAGGAACGAGGGGAGAGAACCACCAACCTGGCTATCACTGTTGGTCCCTGGGCAAGGGGAGGTGGCAGTGTCCTTACCTGCCTAGTGACCTGGATGCTGCTGGGCCCAAAGGTGGTGGTCCCATAGCTTGTTACATAATAGTGAGCAGGAGGCTGTGCTGGGGGCTTCTCCAGCTGACTGGGCACTGTGGGAATAGGACACCCTCAGCACCTCAGCTCCATGAAACCATCAGCCCTCTTTCCCTTGAGAGCTGTTGCAGCACAAACTCAGGACCTTTGGGCTCACCTTTGGGCAGAAGCAGCTCTGTGCCAAAACGGTGTCCACACGTCCCACATGTTTTAACATCTTCCCTTGTCCTGCGGAGGGAAAAGCCACAAAAAGAAGGAGCAGGAGCTGCCTCAGCAGTCCCCATGGAAGATGATGCCAAGACAATGGAAGAGGCTTGCTTTTCCCACCCTGACCTGAGGTCCCACCATTGGTGGGACACCGGCTGCCCTCCCAGGAGGCTGAGCACCTGCAGCTCTTTGTGAAACGGGACATGTGGGCATGTGTTCAGAGTGAATATTATGTGCCTGAGCCCAGAGTCTCAGCTTCTTCACCCTTCTTTCCATGATGGACTTTCCCACACCAGTAAGTGCTGACAACACGTGGGGCATTAGCTGCTGCCATCAGGAAGAGGGCAAAGTAGTGCCCATCAAGTTTCATGACTAATTTCATGTGGCCTTTAGCAGCTGACCAGCCCCACCAGCATCGCAGTAGCGGTCACCCAGGTCCTGCCCTTGGCTTGGAGTGGCACAGCGTGTACGTACATGGCACTTGTGTCATCCATGTCTGGCCAGATGAACTCCGCGGGACAGCCCACTGTTCGGCAAGGAGTCTTCACGCACACGTGCAGCCCCGGCCACTCCTCAGCAAGCTTCTGGATGATGAGCACAACTGCCACGAGGAAGTCCCAGGCAAACTGAAAACCTTCCAGGCAAAAGGAGAATGTCTCACTTGCTTACAGCCCCCAACCCCAGGAGATGCTGTGGTGATGCACCCATCGCTTCCAGCCCGCCAGACCACAGCCAGAACAGTTGGACCAGCTCCATATCCCAGGTTAACCAAGACCCATAGCCTTCATACAACAGCCTTCTAACAATATGTTAGAAGAGTTCCCCTACTCAGATGGCCCTTTTGCTTGTCACTTGAAGACTCGGCCTGAGACTGTACTCTGCTGTGGCCTTTGTGGGGAAAGATGACACATTTGCTCCGCGAGAAGACTGAAAACTTGACTTTCCACTTCCATGTGATACTTTAGAGGAGTCCTGAACAGAACTGGATGGAGAAAGGGGAAATTTTTAACTGAACTGCTGGTGGGCCCTGGCTGGACTAGGATATGTGGCAGAGGCTTCTTGGGACACTGCCCAGAGGGCTGGAGGTGGCAGAGGGGGAGCTAAGGAGAAACATAGGGTTGGGAGTCGTGAAATATGGATCAGGAATCTTACCTGTCCTTCCTGCTGGCTTTCTGCACCGGAGCTCCAGGTAGCTGTAGGCCCTCTGGTTATTCTCTTTGATCAGCAGAGGTTTGCCATTGCATACAAGCAGGCAGGTCACCTTGGCCACCCAGTGTGTGGAGTAGAAGGAGCAAGCTTTCACCAGGAACCTGTGAGGAGATTGCCCATGGCTTTCACCAGCCTCCTCCTAGCTTTCTCCCTTGCACTGGGAGAAAGCATGGCACCAGGTGAACTAGAAAATATGAACCCAATTTCAGTAAAAACAGAGGCAGACACCAAATGAGGACCCTCCCCTACCAAAAGCTCAAGCAGCAGTAGCAGCTTCTTAAGCCAAGAGATGATTTCAGAGTTGGCCATCTGTCCTGGTTTTGTCTGGGATGAAGTTAATTTTCTTTCTAGTAGCTGGTGCAGTGCTGTCCTCTGGATTTAGGATAAGAATGATGGGGATAACACACCAATGTTTTAGTTGCTGCTGAGCAGGGCTTACACTAAGTCAAGGGCTTTCCAGGTTCTCACGTGGCCCTGCCAGCAAGGAGGCTGGGGGTGCACAAGAAGCTGGGAGGGGACACAGCCAGGACAGCTGACCCCAAATGACCAAAGGGATATCCCATACTGTGTGGCATCATGCTCAGCATATAAATGTGGGGGAAAGCTGGGTGGGGAACCATTGCTTGGAATAGGCTGGGCATTGTTTGGTTGGTGCTGAGCAATTGTTTTTCATTTGCATCCCTTGTTCTTCTTGGGTTTTACTTCTCTGTTTTTTTGTTTCCTTTTAATTACAATATTATTATAGTTATTACTGTTACTATTATAATTTCTTTTAACTACTAAACTGTCTTTATCTCAACCCATGAGTTTTCTCACATTTACTCTTCCGATTCTCTCCCCCATCCCACCAGGGGGAAGTGAGCGAGTGGCTCTGTGGTGCTTGGTTTCCAGTTGGGGTTAAACCACACCACCATCAGGTAAAACTCTAGAAACAAGTCCACAAGGCCAGGAGATGTTCCCAAAATTGGTACAGTCCTATGACATATAGAAACTGGAACATCCTCAGGTGGGACTGGGAGACCTCTGAATACCTGGACAGGCACAGGTATAGCCAAACACCACTCCAGATGAAGGGTGAACCAGGAATGTGGCCCTTGCTCACATCCAGACAGTGAACATTGCAATGGTTCATCCAGGACTCCACATGTGTGTGGCAGAGCTGAGAAGCCACCCTGATATCTTGACTCCCAGCCTCATGGCTCAGCAGATACAAGTCTCAACAGCCAAGGGCTTGCTGACAGTCATACTGGCAGTGCACCGAGCAAACCCCGAATCACACAACCTCGTCAAGGGCTGGAAACCACTGCTTACCTCTGGAAGAAGCTCTCAGGTATTTCAGGTGAGAAGTAGGCACGGATGTGGAGGTCCTCAGGGTGATCTCCTCCCCACACCTCAGAGACTTCTTCCGTTTGGTTCAGATAGGTTGGGAACAAGTACCAGGACTCGCCTTGGGTCTGTGTTGTCTCCCATGGCTTCCCAGGCACAAACTCACTGGCCTGTGGGTTGAGCGCTTCCATATGCCTCACCTCCAGACAGAGCTCAAAGTGCTCCAGAAGGCTGAAGAGTTTCCCTCTCCCTCTCTGAGGTCCGTTTCCCATGATTTCCTCAAAGACATCCCACATCCCTTCCGAACAGAGCTGATGTTTCACCAAAGCACGCACAGCCTGGTGGCACAGCATTGCCTTTGACTTGAAGGTCCACACCCAGTTGGCCCTGTCTCTGATGGTGGCATGTTCCCCGATCAGTGTCTCCACAGAGATGCTCTCGAGCTGCTGGACTAGGCGATACCTCACAAGGAGCTGGATGGGAAGAGAAGAAGTGATGAGGTGGCAATGAGAGTAGCCCAGCAAAGCTGCAGAGCTTGGGCCCTGCAGAGTAGATGGTCCTGATGCCCATGCTCACCTTGAACATAGTTATTAGGAAGGTAGGCTGGAGAAAAACAGTGCTTTCCAGTTGCTTGATTTCCTCGTACCACACGACAAGCCCGATGCGGTGGAGGTAGCGCAATATGTCCTGGAGAAGCTCTCTGCCCAGGTTGGCCAGGTGCTTGTGCTGGGAGAGTTTGCTGAGCAGGTACTGGAGGTCCATCATGCCTAGAGAGAGATGCAGGAGTTCAGCATGCATCTATTGGACACAGCATTCCAAGGCAGATGCTTTAGAGAGGCAACAAATGCCAGCAGCACCCCCTATCACCCATGCCATCCCTGAGGAAGCAGCTGGGATTGGAGCAATGCTCAGTGGCTGTGGCCCACAATGCTTTGCCTATCCTCAGCTGTCCCACTGCCACCCTGCAGCTACCATGGTCTTGCCTTGACTCAGCGGTGGCCACAGCCAGGACTTACTGGCACATCTGAAAAATGAGGCTAATACTGATTTCTGTAATTGTTTGAGAAAGCAGGTTTGTTTCCAGCCAGAAAACCTCAGATTGCCAGTTAAACCTCAGATTGTCATCCAGTCCTGCAGAGAGACAGGCAACAAAACCTGGCTTATCTCCACAAAAGAAAAGCGTTTGCTCCTCATTCTCTAATCCTACAGTGGCCAGAGGAGCCAGAGATGACACAGGGTGCTGGCGCTGTTTATACCTGCTTTAGGTACATAAGCAAGGAGCTGGAACTGCCTGCTAGTCCTGCTAAGTGACAAGAGACACAGAGAAGGGTCTAGAGAGGGGCAGGGGCCATTAAATAAAGTTAGCAGGATGGAGATTTGGAAACTACATAGAAACATTAAAGCTATGGAGTTCCTTCCTGCAAGATTTTTTAATTGCTTATACAGTGAAAAGGGGAGAAAGAACAATGTTACTGGAAAGAAACAAACTGGACAACACGGCCAGCTAGCAGAGCCTCTTGGTGAAGACACAATTGGCTTTCTCCTATGCTTTTCCCTAGGCACATGCCTGGGGTGAGGGGGGTGGGGCAGATGCTTGTAGTGACAGAGCTGGGCAGCAGCA